TCCCCTCACAACGTATGCCTCTGTAATCTGAACCAAGCATTGTTTCCAGAACATGTCATGTTCTTTCTTATTTCTGGGGCTCTGTAGATGTTTTCCCTCTGCCTGGAATGTCCTCCCTCCCTCTTTTTCCACTTAAAATGCCTACCCATCTGTGAAGAAAAGAGTTAACACAGCAGACCTGAGTGCTCGCCTTTAAAAAAAAAACCTGCTAACGAGGTTGACCACTGACTGGCGTCTGGGAATGGGTTTGGGGAGGGCCCCCACAGTCCCAGGGCTGGTAAAAGTGGCTCACTATGCCTATGCTGTACTAACGATAGGTTTTTGCTGAACACCCTACTTACTTTCTGGAAATCTGTACTGCTGGTACACGACAGGCAGAGGGTGCCTATGTGGCCAGCCCCCTATAAAAACTATAGGCACTGAGTCTCTGACAAGCATCCCGGGTTGATAACATTTCACACGTGTTGTCACAACTCATCGCTAGGGGAATCAAGTGTGCCCTGCATGACTCCACTGGGAGAGGACCTGTGGAATGCTGCTTGGTTCCCCCCAGACTTCACCCAGGCACCTTGCTCTGTAGCCTTTTGCTGTTACAAATCACAGCTGGGAGTGCAATTACACGCAGAGGATCACTGAACCTGGGAATTGTCTTGAAGACCCCGGACACACAGACCTTCAAGTCTCAGTTCAAATATGAAGTTGTTTGTGGAGTTTCTGTTCACATCATAGGCGAATTTCATTGCTTCTTTGCCCTCCGCCTCTGCTCTCGCAATTAAAGAGAATTTCATATTGCATGATCATTAACTGTTTGCACTCAGTGCCCTTTTTCGAATGGAAGCTCATCAAAGACAAAAGACCTTCTCTCTTTCACCTTCCCTTCCTGAGCACCTAGCTCGCACACCCAGGCAGCAGGTGCAACAGTAACCACAGTAATCGCTAGTAAGTTTCACTCTGCCTAAGACACAAGCTAATGGCTCTACACACACCATCACTTTCCAGTCTTCCAACCACCTCTTAAAGCAGCTACTGTTACTGCCCTCCTTGTAAACATAAAACACAGACAGGTTACATATACAGATTATATGCACTAAGTTATTTTTTATTAGATTATGTATTTTATTATTATTTTTTTTTTTACCAGCTAAGTACATGCTTACTGTACACAATTGAAAGGTACACAGGTGCATGGTGCAATGGAAATCTCTCAGGTGCCCTCCACCCCCAGCCACCCCATCTCCTCCCCTTTTCTGTATATCCTCCCAGAGAGGGGATGACAAATATGTTCATCCATTTTACACAAAGAGTAGCATTTTATACGGGGTGCCTGGGTGGCTCAGTGGGTTAAAGCCTCTGCCTTCAGCTCAGGTCGTGATCCCAGGGTCCTGGGATCAAGCCCCGCATCAGGCTCTCTGCACAGCGGGAGCCTGCTTCCCCCTCTCTCTCTGCCTGCCTCTCTGCCTACTTGTGATCTGTCTGTCAAATAAATAAATAAAATCTTTAAAAAAAAAAAAGAGTAGCATTTTATACATGTCATGCTGCAATTTGCTCTTCTCACTTCACAACATATCCTGGTGGTCATTTCCTACCCATACGTGCAGAACCACGTCATTCTTTCTGAACACCTGCCTAGTGCCCCCGATCAAGGGACATTTGGGTTTTTGCAACAACCTAATTCTGAAAAATGGTTCAGAGAGCATTTTGCACATTTGGAGTAGATTTACACAATAAAGTATTAGAAATGGAGAAGTTGGGTCAAAGAGCTATTTCTTCTTCATTTTTAATGTCAAAAAAAATTGATCTTTTAAAAAAGTTTTTACTTACACTCCAGTTAGTTAACAGTGCCGTGTTAGTTTCTCGTGTACGAGACAGTGAGTCCACACCTTCCTATGACACCTGGTGCTTTTCTCAACTAAAATGGAGATATTATTCACATAACCACAAAATTTGCTTTTTAAAAAGGCACAGTTCGGTGCTTTTTTAGACACTCACAAGATTGGGACCACAATCTGTACCCTTTACATTGATTTTTAATTTTAATTTTGAATTTTGATAGGTTTGCCAAATTGCTTCATCAAAATGAACATAAACATCTTTTCGACCCACTTCTACTGTTTTGATTTCCAAGTTGCCTCTCCCTCCCCCTCCTCACACATAACAGCGTCTCATTGGTCTTCTCTGAGGACTTAAGTCCAAATTCAGAAGAGAAAAATGCACACTTCCACTCCCCCACACCCTCCGGCAGCGTCCAGCAAACAAACCGGATCCCGGCGTGTTTCGCACGCTGGCAAGTGCACTAGAAGTCCAGCTTGCCTTTACATTCTCCAGGGGGATGTGTACAATCTCCACAAGTTAACACTGCTGCTCTCCTAATGTTGACAAGGCCAAAGGCTTTCTAGTGACCTCAGTGTTCTTACCAGGTCATGAGAACCAAATGCTCCTGCAACCGGAAAATCAAGGAAGGAACAGTCCTTCCCTGTGTTTGTTTTCAAACCCACGTGCCCACACCACACCAGGCTGTTTGTCCTTGGTTCACAGTTACTGGGGCCAACAGTGCCAGCAACAGGACGCCAAACAAGGCTTGCTTGGAATAACACCCCCTCCTCCCACCACCTGCCCACCACTGCCTATCTGCAAAGACTTCACACCCTAGAAAACGGACTCCGAGCTTCTACCCAGAGTTCGCTGCCTCGCTTCCAGCCCCATGCTGAGCCCCCGGCAGCTAAGCGACACAAGGTGTACAGCCCTCTCTTCCCCTTTTTCCTTGCCCCCCCCCCCCCCCGTGTGTTTTTATGAACATCCAAAGGGAAGATAATTAAAACCTGCAAGAAAACCGGCTGGCAGCGAAAAAGAAAATCTTGGTGACTTGGGGACGACGCCACATGTTTATGGGTGAGTCTTGTAAGTAACAGGGCTATAAAAACAGAGGTTCTTATAAATACATGCCACATTCTTCAAAGCTCTATATAAACAACGTTCTTTTTAAACAGGGAAGGGGAGCTACTGGCATACTCATGTTCCTTCCTCATCACTTCATTTCCAGCAAGGGGAAAAGAATCATAATTGTACAGTTTCCTAGGAGCACGGTAGTTAACGGAGCCGAGGCTCTGTAAGTGACACGTGCACGGGTGTGAGCACACGTGCACGTGTGCTCCGAAGCAGGAACACAGAAACGAGGACCAGGCACATGAGTGTCTGTGTTTAGCGTGGCAGAGCAGAACAAAGGGGCAGGAGGGCAGGCATTGTGTCACCTCTGATTGGGTTTTCTGGCTATTAAGCCCTTGCACTTGAACGCCAAAGACAGAAGTTGTGCCTTCCTCTCCCAAGCTGGGTGAGCCAGTGGAATCCCCTTTCATTTTTCGCCTGCTTTGCGGACTGTAAAGAGAAACAGGACTGCCCGCCTCTCTGCATGTGACACAGGCTTGAGGCACACACATTCCAGAGTGGCCTTCCCCAGGAGCCAGCTGTGTGCAGGTAACTGCAGCCTGCCCTTAGCCTTGCTGTTAATAAGAGTAATTGGCACACCACTGAGGGGCTGCTGGGGCGCTCTGATTTGCTCTGCACGGGGGTCTCCCCATACCATATGCGCAGGCAGCGGTGATAGAAATATTTTCCATATGAGCTCTCCTCGCACATGCTTAAGTGCTCCAGGCTGAGTTAGGTCGGCCCATTTGTCATTTACTCTGCAAAGTAAAAAATCGACAGGGAAGTTGCAAACCCCGGCTACAACTAGAGGGCAATGGTCTGCTTTCAGCTTTCCAGCATCACAAACCCATTCAGTTCCTCCATCTCCCATTCAAGCCCTCCACCGACCCCCATCCCACTCTGCCCCCCTTTAGCCCAGGCCCACAGAGTATCTGCAGAGCAGAGGACACGGGTAACTAATAGGCGAAAAGCCTGAAACAAATGACCCGTTGCTGCACGCCTCTGAGCCACATGTCTATTTTGAACGCACGGCGAGCCCCGCAGCCTGGCGTTGGGAGTGCTCTTGCTTCCACTCACAGAGGAGGGAAAAGTCATTACATGCTGCTTTTTCTTGCCTGCTCCATCCTGACAGTGCTAACAAAAGGGAAAGCTGTGATGTGGCCCCTAGCCTTTTTAGGAGATAGACTTTTCACTTGGCTTTTCGAGAGGAAGATGGATTCCGGAAAGAGACTGTCCTTCCATTCATTGCTCGCACATCAGTCTTTGAGATCTTTCATCAGAATAAAGAGTAAAAGGAGCAAATGAGGCAAACGGTTGCAGCCTTATTTGCAGGTGCGGGTGGATACCCCTATGTGCTTCCCGCTCCAGGCCACATGGCCCCCCCTTCCAATCTCTTTGCTGCATCAAGACCTGGCTGCCAGAGCATCTATGATGTTCAGAAATGTATCCAGCAAACATGAGCTAAACCCATAAGAATAAATCATCCTCGCCTCCTTGCCTTAGTAGCTCTGGGCATATTCTAGCCCTGTCATGTATCACTAGCCCACTGCAAACCTATGATCCAAAGTTAAACACAGATTTTTTTCCAGGCACATCAAAGCAAAAAGGAGGAAAATGTGATGCAAAAGCAGTAAAGAAAAGCATTTCCTTTAGCATGCATATCCTCTCTCCAACACTGGAGAAAAATTCTCAAAAGGTAACAGTCCCTGTCGGGGGACGCCTGGGTGGCTCAGTTGGTTAAACAGTCCCTGTCGGAATCTGACGTGCACATTTTTTTTTTCCTGCAGCGGCAAAAAGAGAAATGTGCACGCTCCAGGCATCTGTCACCGAGGCCATGCCAATCGCCCAGGGTGGGAACTGTTTAGACAACCTCAGAATGAGATTTTAGAAATGACGGGATTCTTCAAGAAGAAAAGTCTTTCTGTAAGAAAAGGCAAAGCAAGCCTGAAAGCGCAATATAAAGCATTACTCTTTGCACACCATAAAAACCCCGTTTCCTGATCCCTCTTGGTAGATAGAAAAGGAAATATAGTGCTGACAAAAATACAACTTCTGACAAGATATTTTATTTGGCTTACCTCTCCCCCAGGTCTTGCTAACACTGCTGTTTGAACGTGGAGCAATGTTAATATCAGGTAGCTGACAAACATTATTACCCAAAGTTAGAACTACCCTAGAGGAGAACTCCGTCTGCCAAGTGCTAACAGCTAGCAGATGCACTTGTGTCTCGGGATTCCAGCCCTGGAGTTCCGCTAGGCACCGCGCTGCTTCCCTCTGCTCTCCCTCACTGTACTACCCGGAGCTCCGAGCTCAGCCTCTGCTCTGGAGAAAACTGGTAAGCTGATCTCTTCATGTAATAACTTCTCCCGGCTGGGGGAGGGGACAGGAGCCAGCTGGGAGCTGGGGGGCTGCCTTGAACAGAAAGCAGAAAGGGGAGGGACAGAAATCAATGTGGAGTTCTGCATCTGGTCTCATTCATGCGAAGGGATCCAAGGTAAGCGCTCCGCATGCAGGGGGAAAAGCCCCGCTTCATCAGGAGTAGTGAGTTGCAGCAGGATGAGCTCAGGGCTGGGAGCTGGGAGCTGGGAGCCCCTGCGCCTTCCTAGTCCAGGATCTGCCACTGACAAGCTGTCCGCCTGGGTATGCTGGGTACGCTGCCAGAATTGGGCCTCAGTTGGTCTTCTCGTGGGTATGGTCAAGGGCCGGGTGGATGACCTCTGTGTTCCCTTTCAGTTCTGACTTGAAGGCTGTAGCAATCTGGGCAGTCAAAGGCTGCGTTACCAAGGACAGCCACAAAGGGGAAAGAAGTCACAAGGATGCTGTGTGTTTATGCACCAGCCACGAGGGCATGAATGGATGGGGACCGAAGAAGCCACTCTTGGCCCCCACTTGCTGCCTCCCTGGGTCACTGTGCCTAATCAAGAGCTTGACGAATTCTTGCAGATGATGTAAAAATAAATGATAAGCTGGGAGCAAGTGAAGCCCAGGGGCTAGACGGCGCTGGCACAGTGCACTGAAAAGCAGGATGATTTTCAAGAAGTATTTCTGGGTAGAATCAGTTGACCACCTACGTGGGGCTTGGGGACACAGGGAACACGGGAGCTGGCTGGAGAGTGGGTCCAACCGAAGTCTACAGTCCACTTGAGATGCACCCTAAGTGGCCACCTCTTATTATGAAATAGCAGAGCCCATTGTCTAAAATAGGTGGAGAATCCATCAAGTATTAGATTCTGCTTAGGATGGGCTCAAGAAAGCATTCTGAGGCATGACACAGTGGAATGGCCTGGGCCCTGGACCCAGGGAGACGTTGCTTCAAAGCCCAGGTCTACCACTAACTCCCCGTGGGTTTGCGGGAGAGTACTGAACTCCAGTGGGCCCTAGTTGCCCCGCCTGTGAAACGGGGAAAGGCCATCTGATGGTTTTGATGACCATCAAGGAGGTCACCAAGGCACAAAACTTGGCATAGTTCCAGACACACAGTAAGTGCCGAAGATACCAGCTTTTTCTCTGATCTGAAATTAATATCGACACTCCGTCCCAGCAAGGAAATTAATCAATACTTGAAAAGCACCCGACTGTGGGGCATTTTTCTTGCCTTAATCGGGAAACTTTAAATCAACTGCCATTTGGAACCATCTCAAAATGTCTATTATCACCAGTCACATGACAATTTACTAGTGGATTGGTTTTTGCGGGGGGGGAGTGTTGGGTGAAGGAACTTAGAATCCCTTTTTCCAAGGCTAGAAGAGAGAGCAAGTACGTTGGAGATACTGTCTCCAGTGAGAGAAAGGAAGAACGGAGTTTCTTCTCTTCCCCATCCTCCTCTTCTGCCTCCTTCCTGTTCATTATTATTATTATTACTGGTTAAGCTTGGGTCTGCCAGGCTAGCTGGCTGGAAATGCAGAGTCATGCATTCAACAACCCACCCCCACCCCCACCCCCACGCCCCGCGGGAGATGCAGACATTGTCTAAGAAAGTCAAGGTTCTGGAAAGACCGGGGGCTCTTGTCTGGTCCAGGGTTTGGGAAACCTTCTGTAAAGGGTCCGAAAGTAAATATTTTGGGCCTTACAGAGCATATGGTTTCTGTGGCAATTATTCAATCCTGTCCTGGTTGAACACAAGCAGCTAGAGACAAAATATACACTAAAGGGTGGGGCTGTGTTCCAAAAAAAACTTTGTTTATGGAAAGAGGCAGCAGGCCAGATTTGGCCCTAGTTTGCCAGCCCCTGGTATGGACAACTTCCCAATTGTCCCTCAACCCACTGCAATCTGACTTTTGACCTCTGCTCTACAACAAGGGCTCTGGAAATGTCTCCGATGACCCTTGTGTCATAAAATGCAGAGGCTAATTCGTAAGGCTTACCTTATTTGACCTCTTGCAGCATTAACCACGTCCTCAATTTTTTAATATTATGGTAAAACATGCACGCACTAAAATGTTACCACTTTCAACATTTTTGACGTGCACAATTCAGGGGCATTCAGTCCATTCACGGTGTTGTGCAACGCATCACCATCCCCCATTTCTAGTACTTTTTCATTGTCTCAAGCAGAAACTACATCCATTAAGCAAGAACTTGCTGAGTCTCCCTCCCCTCAAGGTGATCTCTATGCGACTTTCTCTCTTGATGAATTTACCTTCTTTTAGGTTCCTCATCGAATAGTAATCATACAATAGCTGTCCTTTGGTGTCTGACTTATTCCACTTAGCGTGACATTTTCAAGGTTCATCTGTGTTGTAGCATGCATCAGTGTTTCTTTTTTTTTTTTTAAGATTTTATTTATTTATTTGACAGACAAAGATCACAAGTAGGCAGAGAGGCAGGTGGAGAAGGGGGGAGGAGCAGGCTCCCCGCCAAGCAGGAAGCCCGATGTGGGGCTCGATCCCAGGACCCCGAGACCATGACCTGAGCCAAAGGCAGAGGCTTTAATCACTGAGCCACCCAGGCACCCCTCAGTGCTTCTTTCTTTTTAAGGCTGAGTAATATTCCATCATAGGTCTATACCACATTTTGTTTATCCATTCGTTTGTTGATGGACACATAGGGTGTTTCTTCCATCTTCTGGCTCTTGTGAATGATGTTGCTCTGAACAGGAGTGTGCAAGTCCCTGGTTGAGTCCCTGCCTTCTGTTCTTTGGGGAATATACCAAGGAGGGGAGTTGCTGTATCATATGATAATTCTACATTTGACTTTTTGAGGAACACCCAACCATTTCCCACAGTGGCCGTTATCAGGTTATATTTCCACTGGCAATGCATGAAGGTTCCAATTTCTCCATATCCTCTCTAATGCTTTTGTTTTCCACTTTTTTTTTTATAACAGCCATCTTCAGGGCTATGAAGTTCATGTGCTCCCTTCGGAACCACTCTCTTCCCTTAGCTTCCAGACCACCAAGCTCCTATTTTCCTTTGCCTCCAAATAGCCAACATTCTTTGAACACCAAGATCCCAGCATTATTCTAGGAACTGTCCATAGAGTGTGTCACATAACCCTGACAACAGCCTTATTAGATTAAATAGCTTGTTCTGTGTCACACAACAGGTTGGTGGCAGAGCCAGAATTCTGGCCCTGGCAGCCTGCTTCTAGGACCTGGCTCTCAACGACTACATTGCACTGTCACCACTTTCTCTGGACACGCTCCAGTCCCCTTGCTACTGCCTGTGTCTATCCCTTAAATGGTTGTGTTCTACACCCTCTCTTCTCTATCCCCTCTCCCTGGCTCATGTTACCCTCTCACTGGTCCCAACCACTCTTTATATGCACAGCGGTCTACAGCCAGCTCTCCCCACTGACCCGCCAGCTGCTGTATCCAGTTCCCTAATGCATACTTGGATCTTTCAAATGTACCCCAAATTCAACAGTTCCAAGACTGAACTGCTTCCCTGACCCGTGTTCTTCCTGGTATCTCCATCTCAGTGAATGACATCATTACCCATTTCATTCCCAGAGGTTGAAAACTGGGTGTTATCTTGAGCCCCCCTACTGCCTCACTTGCTTGTCTAAACCATCACCGAGTCTGATTGAGTCTTCTTCTAGAGATCTCTGCATCCTTCCCATAGCCTCAGACTCCTGCCTCTGTTCCCATCCAGGCCTTTACCATCTGTTGTTGACTTTCTATATAGCCTGACCTTGTAAGCTCTTGCTCTGGTCCTTCTAGCCTTCTTCACCACTACAACCACTGGCATTCTTCTAAAATGTGAATCTTATCAAGTCACTCCTCTGATTCTTTTTTGACTTTTTATTTTGAAATAATTTTACATTTATAGAGTAGTTGCAAAGATGGCACAGAGTCATGGTATATCTTCCCCCAGCTCCTTGTAACGTTAACGTCTTAGACAGCGATGATCTGTACCTTTATGCAGACTAGGACGTTAACACTGGCCCCAAATTAACTAACATAAGGATAACAAATGTCCTTTTTCTGTTCCAGGACCCAGTCCAGGACCCCATGCTGCACTGAGTAATAGACGAGTCTCCTTAGCCTCTTCTGACAGGCGACAGTTCTCCTCTCTTGACACGTGACATGACCCATGACCTTGACACTTCTGAAGAGTCCTGGTCAGGAATTCTATGCAATGTCCCTCAGTTTGATTTTTACCTAGTGTTTTGTCATGATTAGACTAAAGTTACGGGGTTTGGAGAAGAATACCGTAGAAGTGAAGTATCCTTCCCATCACATTGTCAGGGGTACCCTCTGTGAACATGGCATTCTGGTGACGTTAACCTTGATCGCTTGGTTAAGGCGACGTCTGCCAAGTTTGCTCACTGTAGTTATTATTTTTCCTTTCTATACCCTATTCATTAGAAGTGAGTCAGTAAGTCCAGTGGAATTAAGCCCCAATTCCTGGAGGAGGGGTATCAAAGCCCGTTTGGACAGATGTTAAAACCATCAAAATAATTAATACATATTTGGGGAGGTATACTTTGAAGCTATGCAAATATCCCATTTCTCAAAGTGTCGCCCACCAATTTAAATATTCATCAGTAGCTCTTGCCTGTAGCAATTATTATTGTACTGTTTTAAATGGTGATTTTCTGCTTCCCACATGCTTTCTACCCATCTATTAATCAGAAGGGAAGATCTGTTCCTTCTCCCACCTTTATTAACTCAATCATTTACTTATTCTTCCCTGCTTCTTAAAATATT